CAGCAATCAGAGAATAAATTTAATCAAAAAGTGCAAAAAGTGATACTTTAGCACCTAAATACTCCCATGAAGCACTTAGACTGATGTTGTCAAATGACCCATACACTACCAGTAAAAAGTTTGGGGTCATTTTTTTTTTTCATGTTTTCTTTTCATGTTTATTTAAAGAAAATTATTCTGTTCATCAAGGCGGCATTTATAATGTAAAAAAAAAAGGTAAATATTTATAAAAATGTTAAATAACTGCTTTCTTATTGTATGTAGTTTCAAATGCAATTATTACTCCAGTCATTATTGTATTTTTTCTATTACCATTAGTAATAAAAATCATACATAATATTAGTGTGATTTCTGCAAGAAACATGAGACTCTGAAGACTGGATTAATGAAGCTAAAAATTTATCTTTAAAATCACTGCAACAAATTCAATGATAAACTACTTACTATAACAGTTATTTTATAGTGCAATGACATTTCACAATTTTGCAATTTGTACTGTATTTTTGATTAAATAAATGCAGCTTAGGTGTGCAGGATAAGCCTATTTTAATACATTTTTAAAAAATCATACTGTCCCCAAACATTTGACCGGTAGTGTATGTCTGAAGCAGGTATTACAGGAAACTTATTTTGCAACCGCACTCAGTTGTGGGGTTGGTATATGCCGAAATATTAAAGTGTTGTTGTTTTTTTAATATTCAAAATAAAAGAGAGATATATAAGGAAGCAGACTTTAAGTTTATTTAAGCACAAAATTCTGACAGGACATTATTCATTATATTTTATGGAAATTTTCTTCTACATTAAACACAAATGCAAATGCAATGCAAAGCATAATTCAAAATGTGAGTAAAACACTTATGAAAAATTGTGCTATACGGGACAGTGAAACAATCTTTATTTCCAATTTTTGTTCACTTTTTAAATTACAATCATTTATCAATGGTGAGTTAGATTTTTTTTTTCTTTTTTCTTCTTCCTTTTTTCTTTTAACCAAACCATTGAAAGATGAGGGCTGTGTTTGGAATAGCTATGGGCCAGTATAAGATTCTGTTCTAACTGTATGATAATCTTGGATATAAATATCACGGTTTCATCGTATTGTAATTACTTCTTTTTAAATAAGTTATTTTTAAATGCATAAAAACAAACACTTTTTCCCCTTTGAACATAATATATTTCATTTTGAGAAACATTTAAAATATTTTGGAGCATTAAACATATTAGGCTAAACAATTCAAATGAATTAACTTTTGCTGTCTTTATTAGTTTCAAAAACACTGTTTTTTTACAATTGAATATGGCATCTTTGGATATCTTCTCTGTTAGAGATACTGTTGTTCTAAAAAACAAAAACAAAAAACGTAAATAAAAAATCGTACATGCTGTATAGGAACTGTAAAGCAGAAAATTTTGATGGTTTTATACCTTGACTTTTCCCCAACCGTAGTATACCTTGAAAATGGTTATCGTCCCATGCCTAATTTGGAAAACCTGTTTGAAAACAATTGCTTTATTTAGTCTGGGGATGCTGTGGTGATGCAGAAATCACACTCTTTAGCTAACAGTGACTAAAATTGTTTTAAACATACACTCGGCTTCCAAGTAAATGAAGTGTAACAAACACAAATGAAGGCTAACAAAGTGAGCAGGACTGTGTACCGCAGGTTCTGTTTTTCTATGCCAACTCTGACCTCATTTCTCATCAACAGATCTGTCCTCAGAACCAAAATATTTCCATAGCAACCCAGCTGTCGGCCGGAGCATGTTTGTTATGTACACCGCACCTCTCGAAACGCTCTTTGTCGATGTTACTGAATTATGGAGAATCTGCAGATGCTCCAAGTCTGGCGGTTGTCTTAAAAAAACCACTGACCTTCAACTCCACATCTGCAACATCTGTCCAGACCCCTGATGTATTATCGGATGCCATTTTGTGCGGCTTCCTAAACTCATGACTAGAGCCGTTTATGCAGCTTTTTTTAATCCTTTAGACTTCTTGTTGTAAACACTCTTGAGAATTAAAGCCATCTAGGGACACGGAGGTCCATTTGAGACTTTTGACCGACCACAATGGGGTAATTGTGGTGGTTTTTAGAGAGAGATATCCTTACGGGCGGTTCAATAAAAACTGCAGGCAGCAGGATTCAAGGTTGCTGACAGGACGGGACACAGATGCCGATGTGATCACTGCAGTAAGACAATATGTACATGGTTCTCATACCTGAGCAAGGACACACCGGGAAGTATCCCAATGAAACGCTGACCATCGAATTAGCTTTCATTCACAAAATCTCTCAATTTCTCCCCATGTTTTAGTCCTTAGATAACCCATGGGCTGCACTTTTGTGGCAATTTCAAATGTTGTTTATTTTGGTAATTGTTGTCCTGTCGCCAAAAACATTACAGGATGGCGGGGTTGCTCTCACGAGGCCTATTGTGTACCTCTGTAAATGCGGAGAGAGGACAGCGAGTTCATAGAGGACAATAGGGGGAGGTCATTGAGGTGATGGTGAAGCTGAATGGCACAAAGAGGAAGACCGAGAGAGTGATGCCAGGGCAGATGAGAAACAGGAAGTAGAACTTTTAAAAGAGCACCAGTCAACACTGGCAGAAAGAATGCGAAGGAAGGGATGGAATGTCGGAGCGATCTGCAGGGACAACTTAGTCGAACTGGATTTGCAATGGCAAAATGTTTTAGTTGCTTATCATACGGATTCAAATGTGTTTATTAGTTTACGAATGTTAAGATATGGTTAAAAATCTACATGAAATACCTTTTTTACTTCTGGAGTCTCTAAAAGATGTGACCTAGTTTTATGTGCTGAGAATTAATTGGATAATCAAAAGTGGTCTGTTAATGATATGTACAATGGTGTTTGTGATATCAGCCAAACATGAAATTACTTTTAGAGGAAGGGCTGGATTTGATTCATTTTTATTAAGGAAGATAAAAGCAAGTTATTAAAATCATTCTTTAAGAAAACTATTTAAAAGTACTATTTTAAATGAAGAAATAAAGCTTTTATTCTGTATATATTTTTTTCACCTCCCTTTTCCCAAATGTATTTTATTTCGTCTTTCTAAAAGCTACCTCTCGTCTGACCTTAGACCTGTCTTCCCCTAAAATGTGTGATGTTTGTGTATGGTCCAATTTCGCTACAAGTACAGCTGAAGTCAGAATTTTTAACCCCCCTGAATTATTAGTCCTCCTGTTTATTTTTTCCCCTAATTTGTGTTTAATGGAGAGAAGATTTTTTTTCAACAGATTTCTACCATTATGACAATACATAATATTTGACTAGATATTTTAGGCAGGTTAGGGTAATTAGAAAAGTTATTGTATAACAATGTTTTTTTCTGGAGACAATCCAAAAAAAAAATAAAATACATAGTTCAAAAGGGCTAATAATTTTGACCTTAAATGTTTTTTTTTTTTTTTTAAACTGCTTTTATTCTAGCCAAAATAAAAAAAAAAATAAGACTTTCTCCAGAAGAAAAAATATTATGAGATATACTGTGAAAATTACCTTTCTCTGTTAAACATCATTTGGTAAATATTTAAAAAAAAAAGAAAAAAGGGGTTTAATAATTCTGACTTCAACTGTAAAAGAGTATGGGACAAATAAAGACTTCATAATCATCATCATCATCATCATCATATCAAAAGGGACTGTTAAGAAATAATGTTTCCAATCATTTTTATTAGAAAAATTCTGTTATTTTGAACTTCTTGAAGATCCTGAAAAACTTGGAGCAGCAAATTGGAATGTTTTCTAAAGAAAATACACGGGAAGTAGTGTTGCAATGACTAATATGACCAATTTAAAACTGTAATAATTAAATCTAATCAAATAAATTCAGCTTTAGTGAACACGAGATTTTTTATTCAAAAATATTACTAGGGTTGCTTATCATTTGTTTTTTAGTTTTTGTTTGTTTGTTTGTTTTTTACAATACTGGTGCCTAAACCTATATCAAAAAGAGCCATTATTATTATTTAGTAAAAATAAATCTATGAATTGAAAGGTATAATAAAAGTTTAAAGTATACAGTAAATTTTAAAACATACAAAATTACAAAACACAACAAATTCTCTTAAGTTCACTATAAAACTCAAGCCAAGCCTTAGGTTGTGTGTATAGTTGAAGTATTTATAATATATGTATAGTTAGTAGTTCATATAGTTAGATTACCACGCTGTAATTTTAGTTATGTATAGTTTTAACAGCTCTACGGCCAGTGTTGCTTTCATATTTATGATCATGCTTATTTATGTAACAACGTGGTCCTGCGAGACGCAACATTATAATCCACTCACTGTATGTCCACACTTGTAGCAGAATGACAATAAAGCTCAACTTGGCTTGGCTTTTGCTTCTATGCCATATAAATGACACCTATCCACCTCTACAGTATTATGAGATTGTTTAAAAAATCGGTATCAAACTTAATCCCTGGAGGGCCCCAGCTCTCCATAGTTTTGCTCCAGGAATTGAGTTTGAGACCTATGGTTTAAAATGATGTAGCAATCAATACAATTCACTGTAAATACTACATTTTGGCAGAAGGCACAATTTCAGGCTAATCACTTTTCAAAATAACCATCTGTCGTGCAATAACATGCCATTTCACAGACGTTATGATTGATAAAATGTGTTAGTACATGTTTATAGTAACATTTATAGTTATTGCTGTCTTCACAATATTACTATTGGAATTAAATTGGAATTTAGGAAATAATGCAGTAATACTTTATTTTGATTGTCTGTTTGTTGAATATAAGGTACATTGCATCAACATGCCAACTAATTCTCATTAGATTATAAGTTGACTATTAGTCTTTATCATTGTTAAATGTCTGTTGAAGGAGCAGTATCAACAGATTTAAAGCAGACAGGCTACTAATACTCAATTGGACCATTAAAATAAAGTGTTACAAATAATGCACACTATCCAAAAGCATATTTATCATTCTTATTCCATCTGTTCAATTTCAGATGTGTACTCCTGCCAACACACCAGCGACGCCACCAAACTTCCCAGACGCACTCACCATGTTCTCGCGACTTAAAGCCTCGGAAAGCTTCAACAGCAGCAGCAGTCCCAGCATGGCCACCTCACCCCCTCCACCCCCAGTCAGCTGGGGCATGGCCCCACCCATGGCCAACCAGCAGAGTTTATGGACTCAGGGCCCGTCCGCCCAACAGACCCACCCACCCCCAGGCTGGCCCTCAGCTGTCAACCAGCAAGCAGCATCTGAACAGAAGGCCAGTGCCGCAATGGAGGCCGAGAGATGAGGGCCTGGACTACCTGTCCTCCTTCCCACCTTCACTGACCCATGGAGCGAGGGTTCGGGGAGGGCTCTCGTTTTTCTCTTTTACTCACCAAACATGGAGGCAGAGAGAGCTACACCAAGAATAACCAAGCAACATGGACATTTACAGAAGAGGAGCGAAAGCCAACAAGAAGGTAATACGCGGAAGAACGAAACAAGCGCACATTGTATTACTAAGAAAGAGAGCAAGTTTTTTTTATAATGAAAGAGTAGATTAACATTTACGGGACTATGATCATTGCGCCTGTGGATTATTTCTGATATTTTCTCAAAGATTGACGTCTAGCATCTAAGGCAGCAACTTTTCTCAACGTTTTCCTTTTGAATTCTTTTATCTGGTGTTCTTTATGCAAGACGTTGCATGTGGATTAGCGATCTGTTTTTTGCGGTTTTTAACTAACTAGTATTCAATGCAAGCGTTCATGTGTACAGTGTGTGTGTGTGTGAGAAAGAGAGACTGACACACTTAAACATTGTATATGGGACTGATCTTTTCTCTCCCCGTTGGATAATGGGACTTTTTCGTACCTCACTGGTCACCTGACACTCTACTCAACCAATCAGGGAATCTTCCTAGTTGAACACACTTTTTTGAACCGGATTTTTCCATCACGCTTTGCTTTATATCTATTAAGCGGTAGCTCACTGATGTCCTCAGAGATTGTCTGAAAATAGATTACGAAAGATCTGGGTGTTTTATAATCATGGTTTGTAGTTTTATTGGAATCTGTCTGGAGGGAGCTTTTTTTCCAGACTGTTGTTTCTTAGTCGGGGAGAGTAAATCCACGCCGCTAAAGCTACATTTGAAACCGGACTACTATACAACATGTTTGTAAGCAGACTTGCCACTTTGCATGACGTATTCACATGTATATCATATTTTGTAGTTTCTTGCTTTTTGGGGGAATTCTACATGAACGCTTTTTGGGGAATTCTGTCTTATTGCTAGTTTTAGTCGAAGATCTCCAATTCAACTTGTGATTCTGGCACCATCTGCTTTTCTATTGCCGTTTATTTCAAATGATGAATCCGAAGAAAGAAAGAAAAACTCATTTGCTGATCTACAATGTTTTATTTTCCATTTACACCAGTTTCTGATCAAACTTTTTCTTTCGGGGTCCCTTGTTCCCAAATGGTTTTCCATGTATGTTTTCCCCTGTTTGACTGTATTGAGACCATTCCCACAATATTTGTGGACTACCTGATAATTAACTTATCATTGTTTGTGTTCCTAAATAAATATTGTATGTCCTATGATATGACTTCTCCAGCTGATAAGCTGTTGCTGTGTCATTGTACGATCAGTTTTAAAATAGGTGTAATAGAAATATTACAGAATTCTTTCTGCTTACAAGATAAATTAGCAAAGTCTGGATGAAATAAGAATTTATGGTGTTTATTTTTCTAGCACACACTGTTAGTCTTAAAGTCAATAATTAATGTGGGCTAGTTATTCCACAAAAACAGTTTGTTTTGGTAATCTTTAATCCATGAGCACCTTCTTCTGCTCTGGAATGACAGTCTTTCTCTGATGATGTCAGTTTGAAGGCTTGGGTGAAATATGCTTATCCTAAAGGTTTTGAAAAATGATCAAATCCTGAAAAAGAAGCAATTTTAGCAAGTGTAGTCATGCTAATAGAATATTTTTATGTTAACAGAAACACCAAAGAAGCCTTAATATGTTGTGTATTGTCTTAAATGGCACAGAGCAACATTATACCAGAACCCTAAAATGTACTTAGTACGATAAAACAGCACTGCTTCATCTCCACATGATCACAACTGAGGAACTCAAAATGGTGGACTGTGGCGTAATTAAAACTCAGCAGGAGTCCTGTTGGATATAATGAAGACCACAACTCCCAAAATTCCACACTCAGTCACACACTAAAAAACAACAGTTTTTGTATTTTGTGATTTACAAGTGTATTCTGTTTATTTATGGTTGTGAATTGCATTATGGGAACTTGAGCTCCGCTCTGTCATTCATTCATTTTTTTCAGCTTAGTCCTTTATTAATCTGGGGTCACCACAGCAGAATGAACCACCAACTTATCCAGCATATGTTTTACGCAGCGGATGCCCTTCCATCTACCCGCCAGTACTGGGAAACACACATACACACTCGCATTTACACACATACATTATGGCACCCGGAGGAAACCCACCCCAACACAGGAAGAACATGCAAACTCCATGCAGAAATGCTAACTGATCGAGCCGAGGCTTAAACTAGTGAATTCTTGCCTTGAGGTGACACTGTGTTGTATCTTCTTTGTCAACTTTTGATAATTTAACTCTACAGTTTAACAATGTGAATTTGACATTTTAGTAGTTTGAAATTATAAAACTGATAAGAAATAATTTATAAAAACAGTTGAAACCAGATGTTTTCATACACTGTATAAAAAGGCACATAATCATTTAAAAAAAAGTCAGATGTTAATGTGACTAAACTTTTTCTCTTTTAGCTAAGTTAGGATTATCAAATGTGTTTCTGTTATCCTTAATAGCAGAATAATGAGAAAGATTTTTTGAGAATTCTTTATAACTCTTATTGAGAATCAAGTTTACATACAATAAGATTATTATGCCTCTGAAAAAGCTCAGATAAGGGTGTAAAGGTTTTGGAAGTTTCTGATTGGCTAATTGAAAACATTTGAGTTAATTGGAGGCACAACTGTAGAACAGTATTTAAGGAAAACCTCAAACACACTGCTTCCTTTTGTGACAACATGGGAAAATCAACAAGCCGGAGAAAAAAAAAAAAAGCCAGATTACAATTTGCTAAATTACACTGGGAAAAAGACAAATTTTTGGAGACATGTCCTGTGGTCTGATGGAACTAAGATTGAACTGTTTGGCCATAATGACCAGTGTTACATTTGGAGGACAAAGGGGAAAGCTTACAAGTCTAGGAACACCATCCCAACTGTGAAGTATGGGGGCGGCAGCATCATGTTGTGGGGCTGTTTTGCTGCAGGAGGGACTAGTCCAATTCACAGCATAAATGGCATCATGAAGAAAGAACATTATGTACAAATACTGAAGCAACATCTCAAGACATCAGCCAGGAAATTAAAACTTGGCCACAAATGGCTCTTCCAAGCTGACCATTACCCTACTGCCAAAATAGTTATAATGTGCTTTAAGGACAACAGAGCGAATGTTTTGGAGTGGCCATCACAAAGCCCTGATCTCAATCCTATAGAAAATGTGTGTCAGAGTTGAAAAAGCTTGTGGAAGCAAGACAGCCTACAAATCTGACTCAGTTACACCAATTCTGTCTGAAGGAATGGGCCAAAATTCCTTAAAACTATTGTGAGAAGCTTGTGGAAGGATACCCAAAACATTTGACCAAAGTTATACAGTTTAAACAAAAATACTAAGGAAGTGTATGTAAACACTTTCTGTCTATAAATTAATGAAAAATTTAAAAAAAAAATCTCTCATTATTCCGGCATTTTGTAAGTCATTTAGGTAATCCTAACGGATCTAAAGTAGTAAACGTTTAGTATGACTTACCATCAGACATTTAAAAAAAAGATTATGTTCCTTTTTCAGAGTGTATGTAAACTTCTGCTTTCAACTGTAAATAAGTCTGTAAAATAAAAGAAAATGTACTGGCAGTTTATATTGTTTTGCACTATAATATACAACACAAACCCAGACATTCACATTTTAAACTATTAAAAAATGTTACTTAAAGTCAATTTTTTTTTAACTTTTCAAGGTTAACAGTTGTTAAAAAGGGATCAAGGTCCCATAATTCAATTCAAAAGCATAAATAAAAAAGGACAAAATATAACTTTTCAAGGTTAACAGTTGTTAAAAAGGGATCAAGGTCCCATAATTCAATTCAAAAGCATAAATAAAAAAGGACAAAATATAACTTTTCAAGGTTAACAGTTGTTAAAAAGGGATCAAGGTCCCATAATTCAATTCAAAAGCATAAATAAAAAAGGACAAAAATAAAACCACAAAATACAGAAAACAGCATTTTACAGTGCTGAATCATCAAACTATGCCTTTGTTTGTTGTGAATGCGCGCCATCTAGTGGTGAAAAAATGATGTGCCTTTGTTGACCTTATTCTTCACTCACTGGCGGGAGCAGCCATTGGAATCTTTTTTGACTCGACACTTCCGGTCTCATTCACTTCAATTGATTTTCAGACATTCAAAAGGGTGTGTTCTTCTGCTTGTTGCAAACTCATAATTTCTTATTACATTCTCCTTTTTATGTATAGTCGTAAACGCACTTGTTTGTACAGCAAGTAGTTTGATCATTCTCTGATGTTTTTTATTCCTAGTCATTTCTCCAATAGGAAACGGAATTATAAGTTTTAAAACAATCACAAAAACGAGGGCTCTTCCACATTGAAGAATAAGCTAAATACTGCATGTGCATATGTATGTGTGTGTGCAGATATTTGTATATACTGTGCCTTTATCCTGTCATTTTCTTTATACAAAAAAGGTTATTTGGGTTAGAAGACTGTTCATATACAGTGCTAAGCCTATACTAGTACACCACCACCCCCCGCCCCCACAGGGAAACTCTGATTTAAAATCATATTTTCAATAGGAAGCTTTACAGTATTTGATTTATTTTATAGTCAGTACTGAAGCTAAATCTGATAGCTAAATAATAAAACAAAATAACTTACAATAATGGTTAAAAAACTAGCACACCCAAATTTATATGTTAATAAATATTAGATAAAATGTTAAGAAAATAGCAAAACATCAAGAGAAACAAAAAATAAACACAATTTTGTGTTTGTGAAGTGTTTGTAATTTATTTGCATTAGTTTAATTGTATTATCTTGAATTTCTAAAGATGTCTTGTGACTTAAGTATTATTTTAATAAATATATCTGTTTAATAAATCTATTTTGTTCAAATGCACTAAAAAATATATATTGCCTATATTCACTGACAAATGGATACAAATATTAATTTTCAAAATGGGATGTACTCGTATATGCTGAGCATTGTATATATACTTACTAAACATAAAACCTACCACAGATGTTTCTAGAGGCCTGGTTAAGTCATTACTACGTGAATATCAAGTGGTCAGCAGGTTCTCATGTTAGATGTCCTTGTGTGACCTCTAAATTAAACACTTAGTAAAAGAGAGAGTTCTTAAGTTCAGCACAGTCTCAGTCTGCTGCTCTGCTTCCTCCCTCTCTTTTGTATGTTTTTCAGGGTGTGACTTGGAAACCAAAATGTTGCCAAGTAAACAGGGGGTTAGCATGCATGGTGCTGTTGTGTGCCAGGTGAACCTTGTCCCGGGCCCACAAACTCACAGTGATCAGCCATCCCACACTTATTTCTCACCTTTCTAAAATGTTTTTACACTTGAAACCATTAACTCTGGGTCAGTCTAAACCCCAAGTAAACCAAAACTTTAGGTTGTCCTGCTTCATGTTTCATAATTCTCATAATTTACTCCTAATGTTTAAAGTTAACATTTAATCTTTCATAAAATAAGGCTTCCCACCATACTCTCTGAGTTTGCTTCCTTGCTTGCTTGTGTTTTGCGTAAAGATTTTTATATAAAGAGTGAAAAATTAAATATCATTATGAGCATGGGCCGAAGGAAAATACCAAACTATTACTGCTCAGAAAAATAAAGGGGAACACTTAAACAACACAATGTAACTCCAAGTGTTCCCTTTATTTTTTGAGCAGTATATACTAAAGTTTAAATGTAGTATATACATTAATACACTATATTAAAGATTTATTTCATAATATTTCAAGAGTTCCCTCCATGCTTAACGTTTATAGCAAGTTTGGCTTGCTGTCCCAGAAGAGAACCCTGAGCTCAGAGATACTTGAGCCCAAGGCTCCCGCATATTTATATAGCACATTTATTGTGTATGGCGCTTCACAGTCATGACCCCTCATTTCTCTCCACGCCACCAGCAGTGTGCAGCATCCACTTTGATGATGTGACGGCAGCCACAAGACAACGGCGTCAGTGCACTCATCACACACCAGCCATTGGTGGAGTGGAGAGACAGTGATAGAGCTAATTCGGTCAATAAGAATTATTAAGAAGCCATGTAAGGGCGATGAGGGGTGTTTGGCCCAGACACCAGGGTTACACCCCTATTCTTTACGAGCATTGCCATGGGATTTTTTATGACCACAGAGTCAGGACCTTGGTTTAACTTATCATCCGAAAGTTGATTGATAGTATAGTGTCTCCTTCATTTTACTGGGGCATTAGGACTCACAGGTTGAGGACCT